TCTCCTTTTGTGATAAAGTCCTCGTTGGTTATCGCGGCTTCCTTATTGCACGTATAAATCAAGGAGAAACTTGTGATTGTGCCAACCGGTAAGCGAAGTTTCTCATACCTCAAGTCAATCAGACATTTGGCAAGTCACCTGTTTCTTACATTATATTACATTACAAACTGGTGTACGTAATTGTATCTACTCATGTAGTCATTCCAAATGTAGTTTTATTTCCTTGATACAGCTCTCTCTTTCTCTCCGAACAAATCCCGTACCGCAGCATGAAAAGTGGTGATCAGGCAAGACGGCGCAGGTACGCAAAAGAGACGAGAGTGGCTGACAAAAACGTTGCTTTAGAGCTCATTTTTTCTATAGGTAATGCATAGAAGCTTCCCCATACAAATAATGTTGTGTCATACTTTTTTGCGCAGGAGAGAGGGAGAGTCAATAAGTTGGTCGTGCACAACTTTCGATGAAGAGGAAAACTGGCAGAGCATGACACGGAAGAACAAAATCAGCAGAGGAGAGACGTCGTACACGATGTCATGTGTATCATGTGATGGATAACACTGATACTGGACTTTTTGATGAAGCTTACTGTTGGGTTAGTATGTTTCCTGGGCGCATAACTGTTGACAGTCGTTTGCTCTGCCCTCCTGAGACGGTCCTGCTCGAAGCCTTGGGCTGCTGGTCTCTCAGTGTTTCGTGTCTCCCTATTCCTGCTGTTGGCGTCAGGCTTTACTGATAGAGGGTGTTTGATTGTTGCTGATTTTATTTGTTATGACATATTCGATTTTCCGCTCTCAGACGTCGTTAAATACCTTATAGATTGGGTCTGGGGTAGGAGATCTTCATGAGCTGGTTTCGCACGCGCTGTGTCACCTGCGTGGCGGCCAGCACATGTCCTGTCAGTTCTCCGGCTGTAACTCAAAAAAACCATCCAGTGTTTTGGCATGCAAAGTTCCAGGCTCACCAGTGTTCGCTCTGAAGTTCGTCCCATTTTCGTTGCCAGAAGTTCCACGCACTTACGATGGTATGGTAGAATTATTGCTTCAGCGTTTCAGAAATTGAGAACATGTTATACCACCAAAAGGGCTCGTGATATATCTATCATTTGAAATGAGTCCAATCGCCTTGTAAAATCGGATTGTTTATAATTTTTTTGTTTTAAATCTAAAAGTAGATTTGGTCTCACACTCGTGGGTTGTATTATAGGTATATGGTATAACTGTCTTGATTAGGATTTTGCTTCACAGTTGCTGAGGGTTACAGATCGGGTATTAAAACTATTCACAAAATCATTCTTAAAATACCAACAGTCATCATTTGACCCATACTTACCATGCTGTTAGTTATGACTATATAAAACAGAGTTATGGTGTTATTTCGCGCGAACCCATTTGGGCCATAGGGTCTGCGCGGTCAGACCAGCACATTGATCCGGGTGAAATATCTGAGCAAATGTCTCCATAGGATGTGTATCCTAGCGATTTTTTGGATACGCAAGTGTTCTATCTAGTTGCAGTCGGTACGTCAAGAGGATTTGTGTGGTTGTCGGGAAACGTCACTCACCTAGGGATGCAGTGAATTAGGTTTATAGAAATGGGGAAACAATAGATACATGGCGCAGGGCAGTGGCTCAGCTGCTAGCATATACTGAACATGAACGTGCAACTGGTTACCATGGCATCGGTTTCTCTCGTCACCAAATTGTGATAAAACACTGTTAAGAAAGAGATTGTACCGCCATGAGAGAATTGTGGGGGGCAACTGACAGACCCCATCCTTCTAGCCTCTCATCACTTTGTAAGAGTCCCTTCTCATGGTCTGGGTGTGAGAAACAAGGCAAAGCCACCACTGCAACAGCTACGCTGACAGGCAGGGCCCAAGCGCCTTGTCGTTACTCAAGACACACCTGACAATTGGGTTGGCAAAACGGCAGTAGTGTTACGTGAAGGGAGAGTTGCAGAAACTGGCTAATAGTTTTCAATGCTGCCAGTAAAGTCGGTAGCCAGAGAAAGAGGCGACCCATCTATCTCGTTATGCTATCTGCCGAGTACTCTGCTATGAGCGCTGCTGCATGGTATTGTGCAGTGAGCAGATTTTTTCTAAAGCTTTCCCCGACAGATTTTGTTTGATTTATCTGGCAAACTTGAAGTCTGCGCTTGACAAAAATGCGGTCATTGTCGATGACTTTCCTTTACTGAACAGTGTTTCTATTTCTCCACTTTTTAAATCAGCAGTGCCATGCTGAGTGGTTCCTGAGCGTAAAACAGAGAGCGAGAAAGCGCAGAAGCCCCATTTCTGGTGACACATTAGTTTGTAAGCCAAACCACAAACAGTCCCTAGTTTCCCTCGCATATACATGTTTGTCTGTCACGTATGTGACTGGTGGATACTGCATGTCGCAATCTGGGTTTCGGTCAGGCTTCGCCATCATGCAGGGCAGTGCGGCGACACAAGTAAAAGCAGTAGATTGGTCCAACAGAATGATGAGTCTTCATGTTGGAGCAACAGCCATTGGCTCTTTTCAAAATGACTACTGTTTCACAAAAAGGGTGAGGAACCAAGGTTAAGGTTACTGCTTTGAGGCTTTTTAAGCCTCCAATCGCTCCGCGTTAGATATGGCAATGAACACTTAAATCCACGTTTCCAAATGCAACTAGAAGTATATGGACTCGAATATATACCTCTTAAGAATAAAACTTCAATTAAATCAGGACTGCCTAGTACAGTAGGTCTTGATATATAGGAAGGAGTACAGGACGGAGGTAAAAACCATAATTTTTAGTGCAAGATGTAAGACAAATGAAGTAGAGTAGTGAGATTATGTCGGAAAGGACAATTGGGCATCACGTAATGCTGATATGACGTCGCTAACTATTCTAATAAACCTGCAGAACCGTTCAACTGAAAACAATGAAGCTGATAAGAATAAGCAAGCCCGAACTGTTGTAAGTGAGACCAAGTGAAGCCTAGGGTGAGTCATATGATATACATGTGTATAATTGTACAATTAGTTGTAAAAGGATGTTTGTCAGTGTAATACTGTTTATTGTGATCAGGGGCGGACTGGCCATTAGCATATACCAGGGGAGTTTTCGCTAGGTGGGCTGGCGTTATGCTCT